CCTATGTCCCCGTCTAGTACATTTATTCTTCGGATACTCCATAACTGAAATTTTCGTGTTCCATAAATATTATGTACTTCACAAAACTCCAAATAATATATATTGTGTGTAATTTGCACAAATTAGACATGCTTGACTTGTAAATAGAGAGAGATTTGTAAATAGAATAAATCCATGATTTTCACATTTATCACAAAATAAGAACTTTTAGAACACATTACATAACCCACTCACCATGATAAGTATGAAATATTGCAAGACAAATACACACGTTCTTCATCTTGTTTCTCTCTCTCTCTCTCTCTCTCTCTCTCAAACACTATTTCATGGTAGAAATCTATTCTAACTTCATGGTAGAAATCTATTCTAAAGAATTGGAATGAATTATAGAAATAAGGAATTATTATACTTATAAGAGAGGCTATGGATGCAACCAAATAATAAGTCAAACAAAGTAGGGCAAATATTCATATACGCTCATATTATTATTCTTCTCCAATATGGAGGTATTTATAGAGAGTACAACCCTAAATAAAATAGGAAATAAATTCAAATTACAATAGAAAATAAATATAAATTATAATATGAAATAAATCTCAATTATAATATGACTAGATAAATGGTAAGTAACTAAAATTCTAACATAGTAAGGAACCAAAATCCTAACTAAGTAAGAACTCGCCAACACTCCTCCTCAAGTTGGGCAAAGATATTTCGCAGGCCCAACTTGACAAGTGAGTCACAAAACACCATACTTAAGAAGCACCAATTGTAGAGAAGGTCTTTTAGTCAACCACGAGTGAAACAAGTGACAAACTAAAGCAAAGTTTACAGGAGAAACAGAAGAGCAAACCCTAAAAAATAGGGCACATAGCATAACACATAAATCTTGTGAGCACGGTGTTGAGGCCCAAAAAATTAACGCTTCGGCCCAAATAAATTATCGGCCCAATGTGATACCTTATTAAGAAGAAACCTGATTTAGGCATGCGAAAGTTCGTCATATACGCTTTGCACACATGCCACGTCAAACGACACGCCACGCTAAGCAAGAAATTATCATTCCGCACCTAATCACGCCACAAGCTTAAGTGGGCCCCAAGCCACTCAAATACCCGGGGCTTGCTTGAGTGGGTTGTGGTATGGATGGTGATAAATCAACATGAGACCCATTGATGGACCGAGAAATGGAAAGTCTCGGGTTGCTTGGGAGCCTTGAGACTCAAGCCCGTTTCTTAGGCCCAAACATGTGGGTAAGCACAAGAGAGAAAGTAGTTGATAGGCTTTTTAGTACCTGCGCAAACAGGGTTAAAACTCCTACAAAACTTGCAAGAATGACAAGGTTATTGTAGTATAAATGATTCTCGCAAGGTCGTTCTCCGCAGGGATTATTAAATAACTCGTAGCAACCAAATTCTAATTAATTATTGCAAAAGAGAAAGTTGAGATGTTTGATTTGAAGACCTTAAATTAAAAAGAATTTAACTAATAAAAATAAGGCAATATGCAAAATTAAAGCTAAGGGCAAGAGAAACAGTTGTGTTTTTAGAAATCAAATTAAGAAAGCACTAGGGATCCGCCGTCACCTTAACAATTCTATATAGTTCCCCCAATTACTTATAATCTATACATGCATATTTCGAAGGTTAGGTATTCCTAATATATGCCTACTTGGACCCCCAACATAGAGCGTATATCATACATGCAATCCGTCTGTGGTATTCAGATCGAATCTAAACATACATGACTCATTAAGTTCTGTGAAACCTTTTGAAAAACCATGCAACCCTTAAGACGTGGTATTCATCCTAAGTGAACTTGCACATATTAATCACAAGAAGCCTTCGTCAATTTCAGGGACCGACCTCCGACCAAAACTGCATCAAATTACTTTTCTAAACATCCTAATGGTGATCAAGCATCAAGACACTTAGATAGTTTAACCCAGTGATGAATAATTCGAAAACCTGCATGCATATAATCATAAGCAAATTGGACAGAAACTACATATTCTTGCTAAGGCTCGTGGCCTCACCCTAGCAAAAGAGAGTTAGTTACGCATGTTCACAATTGAAATCCAAGAAAATATCATTAAGAAGAATAAGAATGCAAACACCTGAAAGTCGCGAAAATCCAAAACCCTAGCAATTGCTCCAAAAACCAAAAAGAAGTAAAAAAAAGGAGTTCTAAATTGCTGTGAAAAGGAGTTTAAATACCTCCTAAAACCTAGCTCCCCAATCCCCACAAGGAAACTAAGTTAAAATAAAATAATACTAGGAAATAAAGTCCAAATGGGATTAGGAGAATCTGCCAATAATCTGGTCAGCCACGTTTTGGTCTCAAATCTCCTCCAAATCTGGCCCAAGATAGCTCGTTTTAAAGATAAAAATATTCCGAACACTTCTCCAGAAGGCCATGAACCCATCCGAGGTCATCTTGGGCTCCAAAAACGCAATACAAGCCCAAACGTCACTATTCCAGCACAGTGCACTGCTCCTTCATTTATTCACCAGGAAATCATCGCTTGGTGGAAAAGTCTGATATTTTGATACGATCAAGCTAAGTGGCTCACGAACGTCCTCCAACTGGAATTACTCCAAAATTCGTCCATTTGATTATGTTTTGCTCCAGAGGAAGTCGAAAGTCCTATATTGGAAATATAATTCAAAGTATCAAAATTCTTCCAAAATATTAACCAAAATATACTAAGAATGAGGCTAAATATATAATATAAAATCGACTCATCAGTAGTCCAATACCCAAGCAAAACAACCCAACCAAAATAAAGCCCAATGTTTAGTAAAAGCCCTTTTGCTTAGGAAATCACCTTGGCCCATATAAAAATCCCAAAATAGCCCACAAAAAACCTCAGCTTTTGGAGAAAGCAGAGGACACGTGAAGAGCAGATGGCAGACTCCTTAAGCAAAGCTGCTGGAAACCAGTCTCAAGCCAGAAACATCCAAAGAACCGATGAATACCATCCCGCATGCTGTCAGAAGCATCCCTTGGACCAGCATGTATTTTCACCTCTTTTCCTTCGTCAGATTCAGCCAAGGAAGAGGAAAGAAAAGAAGAAAAAACAGCAAACCAAGAGTGGAAGCTCCCATTGCACAGCCACGGGAAAGGAGGATGTTGAGCCCCCAAATCCCCTGAATTCATGAAAATAGACAGAAGCAATCTTTGCCAAGAAAGGGAAGTCAGAGAAGGGGAGGAGAAAGGAAGAAAAGCTTAGCCAAAGTAAGTAGAAGTCATTAGGGTTTCTTGAAAAATGGTGATTTCCAGCAGCTATAAATTGAGCATTCCCCTACCCAACAAAAACAACCCACAACCTGCAGAGAGCAAGCTTTCTCTCTAACTTGCAAAAACTCAACAAGCTCGTGCACTGTTCATCTTCTTCTCCAATTTGTTTTTCTGGCAGCTGCCAGAAGAACTCTGCCTTTCTTTTTCCTCTTTCCCTAGTCGAATTCCTCACAAAACACCTCATTCCTTACTTAAACACTTTCTTTTCTCATAAACCAAGCCTAATTTCTCTCTTAGTGCTAAACCCATGTTGATTTTGCTCCCATGCCACATGCCACTCATGCTGAGCTGAAAAGACTATCTGTAAGCATGCCAAAACTATCTGCAAGTTACCATTATTCTCGTTGGTGAAGATAACCAAAATACTTCCTAAGGCTCTACTGCCTTTTCGAGGTATTTTGGGGCTTAATTTTCGAACTCAGGCTCAAGGGGCAATTTCTTCCATTTTGCCCTTTACGGCAGTCAGGCCCGTAGTAGCTGCCGGAAGAAAAAAGCCCCTACATAAATTGGCGACTCTGCTGGGGATTAAGCCACTATCTGCACCAATGCCTCCAAAGAAGAAGACCAGAAGCAATAAACCGGAGGAAATAAAGAGATAAGAGCATTCCCTCTTTCTTTTTCTTTTTCCTTTCGTTGGCTATCTACTTTGTAGAACAAAAACATAATATAGATTACTCACATGCTCCCTTTGCTTGTGTCTTAGATATCCATTCTCAAGCAAAACAATATCTTGTAAGAGGACTGGGGGCTTCAACCAACGTGCAAGCCGCTGACCACCGTCGTCAATTGTTGAGGCTAGCTCTGCCGTTCACCTCTCCGCCATGATACATCATCAGCAAGTCTGGCCATCGCCGTAAATCACCTTCATAGCAGCCCTCACCTCTCTAGAGTTGTGAAAACACGCTTTATAGAAAGTTTTAAAAAAAAAAAAAAAAAAAAAAAAAAAAAAAAAAAAAAAAAAAAAAAAAAAAAAAAAAAAAAAAAAAAAAAAAAAAAAAAAAAAAAAAAAAAAAAAAAAAAAAAAAAAAAAAAAAAAAAAAAAAAAAAAAAAAAAAAAAAAAAAAAAAAAAAAAAAAAAAAAAAAAAAAAAAAAAAAAAAAAAAAAAAAAAAAAAAAAAAAAAAAAAAAAAAAAAAAAAAAAAAAAAAAAAAAAAAAAAAAAAAAAAAAAAAAAAAAAAAAAAAAAAAAAAAAAAAAAAAAAAAAAAAAAAAAAAAAAAAAAAAAAAAAAAAAAAAAAAAAAAAAAAAAAAAAAAAAAAAAAAAAAAAAAAAAAAAAAAAAAAAAAAAAAAAAAAAAAAAAAAAAAAAACACTCCTCTAATCCCATCCCACAAAGATTTTAAATCATCAATAAAAGGCTCCAAGTCGACGTCTATATCATTTCCGGGTTGTTTAGGACCGGAAATCAATAAGGTCAACATCATGAACTTTCGTTTCATGCACAGCCACGGAGGGAGATTATATGTAACTAAGATAACTGGCCAGCAACTATATCTGCTACTTAGAGAACTGTGGGGATTGAATCCATCAGATGAAAGAGCCAATCTCAAGTTTCTCGGCTCATTACCAAACTCGGGCCATTTATCATCAAGAAGTTTCCAAGACGGGGAATCCGCCTTAATAAATAAAGACATGGTTAGAGGTTTCAAACAACTCAATAAATAAAGAACCGACGTGGTTAGATGTTTCAAACGGCACAAAATTAGTTAAACAGTTTTATACGCAGTGCATCATACAAACAAAATCCTGTTAAGGAGACTAACCCTGGATTGTAAGGCATCATGAAAATCTGTTCACCATCTGTCTTCTGAAGTCGATTGGCTACCAATCGTGATCTATCAGTTAGTGACCCAGCGTTGGCACTAACTTGAGCAGGGTCGATAAAGCCAACCATGTTGAACATATTTGCTTCTTTCAAATGATCATATAAGCACCTAAATATATAAAACAAAGATATATAAAAAAGTCAGCACAAAAAAACACACGACGGTTATTTATAAACAAACGACGTATTATACAATTTCACACGACGCAATGAAATAGAAATCGACGTTATCATTAATTTATCATGACGGTACATAACTAACGACGTGGTTAGTAGTTTCAAATGACGCAATAAATAAACCACCGACGTCTATAATGATTTTTTTTTTCAACACAAATTTGAGTGTGAAATAAATATTTGATAAGGACAGACCTCATATATACTGCAAGCACAATAGCCCCAATTTCTTCCATGCCTGCTAACTGTGTAATATCTTCAGGCAAGACGAAGGTACTGCGATCTAGACCAAACACCTCCTTCTCAATTGTAAAGGTCATGATCTTCTCCTGAGGCTTTAGTGTGGTTTCCACATAACGACAAAGGGATTGTAAGGAAGATGGCACCTCCACCTTTGAATAATCAACTACTTCAATACCCTGTTTAAAGAAATAAAGCAAAATAAAATGACGTGGTAATTCAATAAACACACGGTTTAAAGAAAACAACGTCGTCTGATAATAATTTAACGACGGTAACAAAACACCGTCGTGTTGAATAATTTATTACGTCATAGGAAACAAATTCCAACGTCTAATTTGAAAACAAACGACGGTTTAAAGAAACTATCGACGTCTGAAATTTGAAAAACAAATAAAAAAGGCAAAGTTATGAGAATATACCTTTTCATCATGCTTTTCTTCATCTTCTTTTTTTTCTTTCTTCTCTTCATCTTGTTTTTCTTCTTTCTTCTCTTCATCTTTTTTTTCTTCTTTCTTCTCTTCATCTTTTTTTTCTTCTTTCTTCTCTTCATCTTGATTTTCTAAATCCCCAGATTTCTGTTTTAAGTAATAAAGAAATATATATATATATATATATATAAGACAGATTGTACATAAAGTAAAAAATTAAATCAAAACGTCGTGGTAAGGCATAACATAAGACGGTATGTAAAAATTATGGACGTCTTAAAATTATTAAACGATGGTAAATAATAAACATCGTGGGGATTTATATATTACGTCGGTAAGGACTAAAACCGTCGTCTAAATCACCACAAAAGTTTTCAAAATAACGACGTCTAATGGCGTGTAAAACAAGTAAACTAAATACGACGTGGTATTGAAATCCAAACGACGGTTTATTAATAAAATCGTCTTGGTATGTATTTCAAACGACGGTTTGCTTCATAATAACGACGTCTAATAGCTTTTTAAAAAAACAGAGAATTCAAAGTTCAAATATGTTACCATTTCTTCCTGCTTTTCCCCATTTTTGGCAGTATCATCATCAAAATGTAGGGATCTCACATCCCCAGAGCAGCTTGCTTTGTCAGACATTGGATTTTTGGGACTTTGCTCTAGACCTTGGTTTTGACAGGGGCTAGTTTTCGGTTTAAGCATGCTTGGATCAAAATTGGGGATGAGTTGGGAAAGTTGACTCAGTAAATGTTCCCTCTCAGCCTCTACCAATTGCTTGGTTCTAGCCTCCATCCTTAAAGTCTCTTCCCTTGATCTAGCTTCCATCTTCTTAGTCTCTTCTTGAAGGACAATTCTTACACTTTCCTTTAATTGATCGGCAAACTTTACCCTCTGTTGTCTAGGTAAATTGAAGTATTGCCTAGGGGAAATCCCAGCACCTACCCCTCTTACTCTCCCTGGATGCTCGAGACCCAAAGCCAAGGTCAACACATCATTACTGCCAGATACACTGAGACTGCCTTCAGCGACTTGTTTTTGCAATTCATCCTAAAACAAAGATATATAAAAAAGTCAGCACAAGAAAACACACGACGGTTATTTATAAACAAACGACGTATTATATAATTTCACACGACGCAATAACATAGAAATCGAAGTTATCATATATTTATCACGACGTTACTTAAAGAACGACGTGGTTAGTTGTTTCAAACGACGCAATAAATAAACCACCGACGTCTTATGCTATAATTACAAAAAACAGAGTAGCGATTCCAAATTCAGACCTGTAACGACGTTTTAAAACATCTCGACGTAGTAATATATTCAAACGACGCAATAAATAAAACACCGACGTCTTATGCTATAATTACAAAGACAGAGTAGCGATTCCAAATTCAGACCTGTAACGACGTTTTTTAAAACATATCGACGTAGTAATATCATTCACACGACGCAAAATATAACATAAGACGTAATAAGAATTATCAGGGCAATACAGAGTTTAATAAAAATTTAAAACAGAGTGAGTAGGCTTACAATTAATTTTGCTTTCTCTGCCACCTTTGGATCAGGGATGTTACCATCTTTGTCTTGTCTAGCTTTCTTCCATAAGGTAGATCGATCAATTTCTACCCCAGGCATGGTTTCCTCCAATTGATCCTCCAAACCAGCATATCCTTTTCGAGACAACCGATGATTGTACTCAAGTTTCTCCCTAATCTTTGAATGTTGAGAATGCACAGACACAAATTCTTGGGATAACCTTGAAGCCACAAAGGCATCCCATTCTGCTTTCTCTATGAATTTATATAGTTCAGGGGGTTGGCTTAATTTCTCCCTCTCCTTGATGTATGGAAGGATATAATGCCTCGTTAGTGTAACTTGAAATCCTTCCATTTCTTGGCAGCAGAAGATAACACCAGGTTCTTGCCCCCTTGACCTACCACAAAAGCCATGTCAACGGCTTCCCAAATCTGCTCCTTTATATCCTTGGGGATTTCAGCCCATTTCTTGTCCACAAGTGGGACTCTGGAGCGTGCCAACACACCAATGTAAGACTGCATCTCAGTATGTGCAGGGCCACATCCTTTCCCCCTTTTATTGTACTCAACAACTGGCTTGATTTTCTGAAATTTTCTTTTCACAACACGAGGCATTGTGCTCATACCTCGACCTGACTTTGAATCCTCATAAATTGTTGTCGTGCTGGCTGGTTCTGTCTCAGCAGATGAAACAAACTTCATCTTCTTCAAGGACTTGTCTTGAGGAGTTACCATTCCAAGCTCCTTACCTCCATTTTTTTTTCGAGCCAGAGTCCTTACTTTGGTCTTGAGAAACCATGGTTACAGACAAATCAAACCTGCAAGTGAAAATATTTCAAGAAAAAATTAAGAACACAAACAACGGTTATTCATAAAACACGACTTATGATAAGATTTTACACGACGCAATAACATAACATCAGACGTAATAAATTTTTAAAACGATGGTACTTAAACAACGACGAAACAATATAAAAGAAGACGTAATAAGAACTTATTACGGCGATATTTACACTCCGTCGTGATATTTAAATTCAAACGACGTTAATATTAATATAACGTCGTGGTATTAACATTCACACGACGTGAATAATAAGATACCGTCGTCTATATAAGATCCCAAACCCTACTTTCTTTTTCTTTGTATTTTATCAAATTAGGAAAAACAAAAACCATGGTTCAGAGAAATCAAACCTGCAATCAAACAAGCAAATAAAAAAACGACGGTCATTTTAAAAACAACTTAGATCAATTTTCAGACGACGCTAGGACGACTGACGAACCGTCGTGGTCTACATATTTAACCACATAAATAAGAAGCTACCGCCGTCTTATTTAGTTGAAGTAGTTGTGTTCAAAGTTGGAAACTTTCCCTCTTTGTCTGTATATTTTATCAAACTTGGAAATAATTAAAATGATTTTGGCCAGAAAAAAGGTAAAAAGATTTTCAAAACAAAAACCGTATGAGCATGCAAAACAGCAACAAAAATAGTGTGAAATGAAAGCTTACCTTTTGCGTGCAATGAAAGCTTCCTCTCGGAGTTTGGTGTTTAAGTTCAGAGAAGACGACGAAGACGAGAGAAGACGATGAGATACACTGACAGTTCTCTGACAAGGAAAAAAGACGAAAAGTTTTCTCTCGGAGATTGAAATTTTTTATCGGGTTTGGAAACAGTGCATGTGTAAGTCAGGTAGACGAAAAGTTGAATATATACACAAACCGTTTCATAAAAATAAGACGGTGGTTTACAGAGAACGACAACGTATAAATAAAAAACTACGACGATAATTTGAAATTAGGACGTGGTAAATAAATACGACAGTGGTGTTGTAGGTATCGTCGTAGTAAACTCCAAAATAAAAGTCGATAAATTAATATCTCGCGTCATGGTACAAGGATTTAACACGTCGTTTTTTTGTAATATACAGACGTGGATTTTTATAATATACGACGTATATTAAATAATAACCGACGTTGATTTTACAATTAAACGGCGGTTTGTGTGTAATGACCGCCGTGGGTTTTAAAAATTTATTGTATAAATTTGTCGCTTTCTTTCTGTTTCAGTTTTCATTTAGGGTTCCAAGTTCTTCCTCTCTCATAGACACTCTCTCTCACCTCTCAAAGACAATAATTTGGATGTCTTTCTCAAAGAGAAATGGAGCTTACTCTCCAACAAATCTATATCCACAAGAAAAAGCTTGTCATCTAGCCTTCTCACTCCCGTGATCAGGCTTGATAGGAGACTTAGTGCTTCTGAATACTCCTTGCTTTCCATCAAAAGAGATGCAAGCCTGGCCTCCACTCGCTGTCGAAGGAAAGTTCGCTTCTCAGCACGGGTCCACTGCGCCATTCATTTGCAAAGGGAAATCTGAAGATCAGATGTGCCTGATCCTCTGCTCGATTTTCTTGGCTAAGAAGATCCGTCAGATTTGTGATAGCCTGTTCCTTTATCCGTAGAGCTTCAGAAGAAGAAGATGGGTTTTCAAGAATGCGATAAAGAATAGAAATGGCTTCAGATGGCCTCTAAAGCCTGAGCAATCGAATTTGTAAAGACATTGTCAATGCTTTGAACTATCCAAGTCCTGCAGAAAGAGAACAGACCAACCTATTAAAATTGAAACAACGACGGTTTTTTGTTCTACCGTCGTCTTTTTTGGTCGTCTTTTTTGTCGTCGTAGTATATTAAAGTAAGATGGCGGTAGGTTTATAATTACCGACGTAGATTATTTTTGTTAAACTTCGTTAAGTGTAATATAATCGACGTGGATTTTATTTTTTAATTATAAATAGAGTTTTTTTTTCCCGAGTTCTTTCAGTTTTAGTTTTCAAGTACAGTGAGTTATAAATAGAGTTTTTTTTCCCGAGGAAATTTAAAATGACGGAAATTAATGTTCTAGAATTTGTAAAGTTTCTTGTTTGGGAGACTCATTTAAATCAAATACGAATATAAAAACGACGGTTTTTTGTTCTACCATCGTCTTTTTTCACTAAGACGACGCAATATTTGTTTCGCGACGTGGATTCGTTTTGTTAAACGTCGTTAGGTGTAATTTAACCGACATGGATTCGTTTTGTTAAACATCGTTAGGTGTAATTTAACCGACGTGGATTTGATTTTTTAATTATAAATAGAGTTTTTTTTTCACGAGTTCTTTCAGTTTTAGTTTTCAATTAGGGTTTCAACTTCTTCTTGCCCTTTTCTCTATCTCACCTCACCTCTTAGGAGGCAATTGTTTGGATGTTGGTGTGTGTGTATGTTTTGTGTATCTGATTCGCAAACATACACACATCACCAATTTTCAAAAAATTGTCTATTTGATTGCAAATCTGTGGCTGCCGTCGTGAAATTTTAGGAGGCAATTGTTTGGATGTTGATGTGTTGTGCGTTTGTGTAGATACACAAACACACACACATCATCAACTTCCAAAAAATTGTCTCTCTGATTGCAAATCTGAGGCTGCCGTCGTCAAATTTCAGAGGCAATTTTTTGGATGTTAATGTGTATGTGCGTTTGTGTATCTCAAAGACACAAATACACATACATCATTAACCTCTAAAATATTGTCTTTCTGGTAAGATTATGATGAGGAACAGAGTTCCATCTGGTAAGATTTCGTAACCCTTGGGATCTCAGAAAAATCTGATTATGTCGGTAGTTTTCTATATAAACCGTCGTGGTTATTTCAATTCTTGTCATTAAGTTGATCTACCGACGTAGGATAACAAAATCCAAGAAATAAATTGTTAAAAAAAATTCTTATTAAGACGACGGTTTAAATATAAGGTATGACGTATAAAGTGAATAAATACGATGTTAAATTTTATAATACGTCGTTAAATGAAAAACCCCAACGTGGTGAGAGTTAAAGATACCGTCGTAGAACTATATGAGAAAGACGTCGATATATTTATCTTTGCCGTAGTTGTACATTAATTTAATACGGCGGTATTTTGTATTATACCGCCGTGGATTTATTTGTAATTATACGGCTCCTTATACGAAAACTTGGTCGTGTTAATTTCTGAGTAAAAACGGCGGCTTTTTTTGACATCGTCGTCTTTACTTTCTACGTCGGTCTATTCATAACTTCTGCCGTTCTTTGTTGGCTTAGATTTTACTATGCGGAAATCCAATTTCAATAAGACGTCGGTTTTTTAATTAGGTGCGTCGTTTTTTAGGAACAACCATTGGAATCTCCATTTTTTATGTGTCTAAGGTGTTTTTACACGGCGGTTTTATAGAACCGTCGTCTTTTAAAAAACAACGACGGTTTTCCCTTAGACCGTCGTTTTTTTCTGGTCGTCTTTGTCACTTTTTGTAGTAGTGTCTTTTCAATATGACTTCTCTCTCACGAGTCCACGACAACATCTTGTGTTTTCTTATTCTTATTCTTTTTTATGGTTTTTTTTTTACAAATTTATAAATAAACCCAATCCTAGACATGTATTTATAAAAAAACCCAATCACTATTTAAACATAGAAAGATACCCAAAATCAACAATTGTATATTTTTTGGGTGTGTTTATAAATGGGTTTTGAGTTTGTGTAATGATGGGTTTTGGGTGTGTTTATAAAGTGTTTTGGGTGTTGGGTTTTTTTATAATTTCAGCCCCCATTTTGGGTGTTTTAGTGAAACTCCCTTTTTTTTCTCACCACCAAAGTGCTATCTCTTGTGCTTTTCTTCTTTTTCCTATTTGCCTCACGCCTCTTTTTCTTCTCTGTCTATTTTTCCACTGGTATCTTTTATCATCTCTTTTTCTATGTTGGCTCCCTTACACGCTTAACCGCATGCTCCTATTTATTTTCCTCTCTCATGTCCTCTCTCTCTCTCTCTCTCTCTCTCTCTCTCTCTCTCTCTCTCTCTCTCTCTCTATGCACGCATGTGTGGACTTTTCCCATTTGATAATGTGTTTCACTTTTTATTCAAGATCATATGTCATGCTCTGCCCAAAACACCCGCGGGTCACCTCATCTTTTCATTTATTTATTTTTGTTGTTGTTATCCTCTCTTCGCTCATCTTTGCCTAGAAACACCCATGTCTTCCTACTCTCTATTTATTTGGGTGTTACTTTCTCCAAAGCTCGACTCTCATACATCGTCGGATTTGAGGGGGAGTGACCGTGGGCTCGGCTATCTTCCACAAAGTAGCGGCTGAAAGGGAACTCAAAAAGAGGCCATTTAAATAGAATTCCTTTTCAAAGGGGGTAGAGGCCAGACCAACAAAATAAAGAGCGGTGCTCCCCCCAGGATTAGAATGACTTTTACCTTTCCTAAGAAAAGGTCCGAAGGCACTGGGATTACTGCCAGCGTGGCGTAGACCGTCAACCAGAAAACAAAGTATTCTAGACTTTTGTAGTTCCATCGGCCCCCTAAATGAGAAACCACATTATACAGATGATAGGACAGGGCTTAAGCAGTAATCTCGACGGAGATGGGGATGAGCTTTGATGAATAAAAGAAGAATTGGTAGAAGGGATGATAGGTGAAGCAAGTCCTAACTAAAAGAAGGCGTTTTAACGCTAGTTTACAGAGCTTTAGGTCCCATCATACGCAAGAGGTCTTAAAATATGTTTTCTCTTTAGGGATTTAGTTGTTGTTATCTTTCTTGCAAGAAAAGCATAAGGAATGTTTCCCCCCTTTAATCCCCCTCGGGGGGAATTACTCCTTAAGTACCGAGAGAGCGTTCATGCGCCAA